AGACCCCGTCTCTACTAAAAATAGAAAGAAACTAATCGGACAACTAAAAATATATAGAAAAAATTAGCCAGGCATGGTGGCACATGCCTGTAGTCTCAGCTACTCGGGAGGCTGAGGCAAAAGGATTGCTTGAGCCCAAGAGTTTGAGATTGCTGCAAGCTAGGCTGATGCCACGGCACTCTAGCCCGGGCAAAAGAGTGAGACTCTGTCTCAAAAAAAAAAGAAAACAACTGGGCATTAATCACAAACCAACATTTTCGCTGTCCAAATGTGTAACAGCATGAAGCAAAAGCACTGGACATTCCACACTGCCCACCCCACCCAGCAAAGATCACGGAAGCCGGCTGGGCAGGGGCAGCCCCCATGGCTGGGCAGACAGTGTGGATTTGGTGAGGGGGAGGTCAGCCCATGATCCATGACCTAAAGAATGAGGAAAGAACGCCAGTGGAGATATCATACTCCAGCCCACGACAGCATGTGACACCTTCCACTCAGTGCTGCTCCTGACCGCCCCACCTCCACCCCCATCCCCAAAGCTCCCTGCACCACCAAGGGACTCAGGAGACAGGAACCTGCCTGGGGCAGGGTTCACAACAGATATACCTGGTTTATTTTGGAAACATGAGCCATTTGGCAATTTTATTTGCTGCATTTTAAAAACATTCTAAGGCTGTTTGCATGATTATTTCTCAAACCCTGGATCCTGCCAAGGCCAGTTTTAACACCCAAGGTCTCTTCAGGTTCCCATGCCTGGAGGCTGTAGGGAGATCATTGAACCCTTGAAGGCAAGAGGATGGTGTCAATCTGCCCAAACTTCCTCTAAGCAGAGTCAGACAGGGCTGGTGAGGCTGCCTTGACACCCTCAGGAAGGGGGAACCCTGAGGGGTGCCCGCCTAATGGGGGAGGTTCCAGGCTAGCCCTCCCCAGACCCTGGGCCCGAGTGGCCTTGTCCAGGCCCAGGAGAAGTCAAGCTGTCAAAGTACTCTTGCAGCTTGCGCAGGGCCCGGAAGCGGTGGGAGATGGCATTCTTCTCAGCCTTGGGCATCTCTGCGTACCTGAGGGGTGACAGCAGCAGCTCAGAGAAGAGGGATCCCAGATTCAGGGAAGTACACCCCCTACTCTACCCCACCTCACCCCTAAAGCCCAAAGCTCAGGGAGCACCCAGGAAAGGGAAGCAAGGGACACCAGCTCCTGGCAGCCAGTTACTTTTTAAAAAATTGGCTAGAGTTTTAAATTCCCCTGGAGGTAGAAACCCATATTAATGAGCATGGAGGGGTATTAAACTTGCTCTCATGTGCCCAAAACATTATGGGAAGCTGGGGACAGGGGATGAGCTGCATGCTTGATCAGCTTTGTCTTCTGTTGACAGGAAGCAGTGGGGCCTGACAGAGCAAACAGCCGTCTCCTCTGCTGCACTGGGGCAGGGGAGGACCCGAGCAGCTGCCAGGGGCCTGTCCTCTGTGCCAGGACTCCAGTGCCGTGAGAATCCCACACCCACCTGTGGCCTTCAGACTTGCGCTGTCCAATACGGTAGCCGCTGGCCACCTGTGGCTGTTTAAATTAATTGCAGCTGAATAAAAATAAATCTGGTCCCTCAGCCTAACCCCATTCCAAGTGCTCCACAGCCACGTGTGGCTGGCAGCCACGCAACTGGACAGCGCAGATACAAAACATTTCTGTCACTAAAGAGCTTCTTGGACAATGCATTTCACTATGTCCTCAGCCTTGCCTGGCTACCGTGAGGTCTTAGGCCATACTCCCCGACGGCCCCCCAGCCTGGGAGGCCTGATTCCAATAACATCCCGGGTAAATAAGGGGGCATTAGTCTGAAGTACCGAGAACTGGTACTGTGAGGGCTTAAGGTGGTGCCCACCAGAGGCTGCGAAAGTGCCAACATTTTCCCAACCTAGATGGGGGAGACAGCAAATCATCCCACAAAGTCGTCGTGTTTATATATAACAAGCCGAGGCCAGAGAGGGGCAGCTACTGGTTGCGGAGCTGATCTGGGGTAAGCTGGAGCCCGAGAGCCCGGCGCTCCCGGCTCCGCCCAGCTGCCTCCTCCACACTGTGCACTGGGCCACCCAGATTCCTTGTGTCCACCCCAGCAAAGGTGCCTCCAGCCAGAATGACACCCTCAGAGCCTGCCCCCACCCACATCCGCGTGCCTGCACTTGGGCGGGGCAGCCACCTGAGCCAGACCACAGCTATCCTGACCCCACACCCTGGGGAACAAATTGGGGCTCCTCACGTCTGCTCGTATCCATCAGGCTGAAAGCAGGGGTCCCAGCCAAAGTCCCGGGAGCCTCGGGGCACCACGATCTGGCCCTGCCACAGGAAAGAGGACAGGTGTGTAACCGGGCGTGGAGGAGATGCGCTAAGAGGGCCGCAGCCCAGTTTGAGTCTGGTTAGTTTACGAATTTGATCAGACCCTATTTACTCAAAATGCAGTTTCCAGGGGTCCACAGTACCCGCAAATGTTTGCTGAATACATAAAGTAAACGCAGAGTGGGGCAGCTCTCCCCTCACAGGGAGGAACCCAGTACTTGATTGGTCCACGAACACCTCTGGGGCCACCCTCCCTCCCTATACCTTGGACAAACTGTGACCTCATTGAAGAAAAATGAGCCGACTTTGAAAAATGGACAGAAAGCATGTTCTCCTGATGGCAAATTAAGAGCCCTAAACTTTGCGGACAAGCCCTCTACCTGCTACTGTTACGGTATTGCTCCAAATACAGAGAGGCTCTAACAATGAAATCAAATCCCATAATAGGAAGTACTCAGCACAGCGGCCGACACATAAATGAGCTCAGTAAATACTGGCTGTAATAGGCAAATTCTAAAATGAAAATGCTATAAAGAGAACAAATTGTAATCCAGTGACATGAAGACCCAAAGGCAAAATCTGTTTCCGCTATGGGGAGCTGTGTGACCAAGGTCAGTAACTGAACAACTCTGAACCTCACCCATGCAATAAATGTTTTTTGAGCACCTACAGTGGGCCAGACAGTGTTCTGAGGACTGGGGTCACAGCAGGCAGGCCTCGTCTTGCCCTCATACAATGGACCTCTTAGGCAAAACAGGCATCACACCAGCAAACAAATGAATGACTACCAAATGCAAAGTGCCTTAAAGGGAACAGACAGAGTGCTGAGCTCAAGAATAACAGGACAGAGTGACTTAGATGGGAAGCCCAGGGAAGGCCGCAGTGAAGAGGGGACACTTTGGCCACATAAAGGGCTAGAGCGAGAACATTCCAGGTGCAGGACGCACTGGTGCAAAGGTTCTGATATGGGGAAAGGCTTGGCATATCTGCGTTGCTGAAAGGACAATGTGGTTGAGGCTGTGCGTGCACAGGCAAAAACAGAACAAAATGAAGAAACAAGGCTACTGCAGTAAAGTGGGGGTGGGAAAGCAACAAAGTGCATGAAGCAGCCAAAGCTGGGGACAGCTGGGACTGCAGTGATGCAGGCCCCGCCAGCAGGGCGGCTGCTACTCAGTCACTATGCAGGAACCTGGGCCTGTGGCTGTTTAAGCTTCTGATTTTTCAAGACAGGTGGACATTTCTGTGAAGGCAGCAGACAACTACAACTAACTTAACTAGGCAATAGGACCCAGCAATCCCATGTCTGGGTATTTATCTGAAAGAACTGAAAACAGGATCTTGAAGAGATGTCCGCACTCCCATGTTCCTCACAGCACGATTCACAATAGCCAAGAAGTAGAAGCAACCTAAATATCCATCAACAGATAAATGAATAAAGAAACTGTAGTCTACCTATGCATACAATGCACTATTATTCAGCCTTAAAGCCACAGGTCATTCTGACACGTGCTACAACGTGGATGAACCTTGAGAACATTATACTAAATGAAATAAACCAGTCACAAAAAGATAAATATTGTATGATTCCACTTACATGAGATATCTAAAGTAGTCAAACTTTTTTTTTTTTTTCTCACAGCTTTGTGTAAAGTAGTCAAACTTAAAAACCATAAGTAGAATGGTGGTGGCCAGAGGCTGGGGTGGGGGAAGGGAAGTTGTTCAATGAGTATAGTTTCAGTTCTGCAAAATGAAAATGTTCTAGACGTCTGTTGCACAACAATGTGCATATAACTAACACTACTGTACACTTTAAAAAGGTTAAGATGGTTAAAAAGCAATTTGAGGGGATATGGGGAAAAAAGGGTTAAGATGGTAAATTTTATGTTTTTTACCACCACCAACAACAACAAAAAATAAAAGCAATTTGACGGCATACGGGGAAAAAAAGGTTAGGATGGTAAATTTTATGTTTTTTACCACCACCACCAACAAATTTAACCAGGCAGGGTAAAACAAGACATCTGTGGACAGCCCTCAGGGGAACCTCTGGATTTTTCCCTGAGCAGGAGGGACTGAACAAAGGAGTGATGTGACAGAAGGCACACTCCTGCCACAGGGGGAGCAGGCCAGCCAAGAGGGTGGTCTGGACCCTGACAGAAGCAGCTGGACCTAAGGGTCTGCTAGGCAGGTGTGGGGTGCTGAACGGTAGCTGGAGAAGGCATGCGTTTGGGCAAAGGATTGAGACTCTATATGGACATGACAAGCTGGAAAGGCTGCGAGACACTCAAGCGCCTTGGCAGTTGGATAAGGAGAGCTGAGCTTGGAGAAGCCAGGCTACAGAGGTAGCTTTGGGAGCTGTCACCTTCAGTTTGCAGTCTGGGTCTATCAGGCCTCATGAGCTGTTAGCCAAGTATTTCCCTGAAACACCAGCCCCAGGGTCAAACAGGCTTCAGGATTGACAGCACTTCTAATTGCGCTGCCCAGGGGCGCCTCCCAGCCAGGCGCTCAGTAACTAACTCTGGCCCCGGGACACCCCTCCCACCATCGCCAAGCAGAAGACACCGGGCGGTCGCCGGCCGCAGCGCCCCCTGGCGGCACGCGGGGGAACGGCGCCCGGGTGGGTACGCACCGAGGTCCGGCCCCTGAAGAGGTGCACCGGTTCACTGGGGTCCCCCGTGCTCAGCGCGAACGTGCAAAGCGCATAGGCTGACTTGTCCTCGTGGCCGGCCAGGAGCTGGTGGAGACCTGCGGGTGGGTGCAGGGAGGGCTCAGTGCATCTGTGCCGCCCAGCTCCCACACCGAGCCCCCAGAAGCTCACCAAGGGTGGGGACAGGGGAAATTGGGCTCCAACTTGTGATGGGGAGGGCAGTGACGGCTTCACCCTGGCTCCTGTGAGGGGGCCAAGCCCAAGGCAGGAGCTAGGCTTGAAATTGAAGGCTCTGGGCATCCACGCTTCCCTCTGGCACAGGCCGACACAAGGCTTTGGACTTTGGTAAGTCAGAAAATCAGCCAGTGCAATGTGGCCTTTGTTTGACTCCCAATTCAACACTAACCAACTGTAAAAGGCATTTTTGCTACAACAAAGGAAATCCAAAAAAATAGACTGTGTAATATTAAGAAATGATTGTATTTTAGTTGGTTAATGGTTTTTAAAATTTTTCACCTTTTAGAAATACAGGCTGAAGAACTTACAGATGATGTGATATCTGGGATTTGCTTTAAAAATACTGGACTAAGGAAAAATATGGGGGGGTTTATAGATGTCACAAAATAGGCTTAGTGTTGATAATCCTGGAGGCTGGTTAATAGGGATATAAGGTTCATTATTCTACTACTCTTTTTTTTTAATTGATAAATAATACTTATATATATTTGTGGCCATTATTCTACTATTGTACATGTTTGAAATGCTCCATAAGTTCTTTTTTTTTTTTTTTTGAGAGAAAGAGTCTCCCTCTGACACCCAGGCTGCAGTGCAGTGGCACAATCATAGCTCACTGCAGACTTGAATTCCTAGGCTCAAATGATCCTCCTGCCTCAGCCTCCCAAGTAGCTGGGACTACAGGTGTGTGCCACCACGCCTGGCTAATTTTTCTATTTTTTTGTAGAGACAGAGTCTCGCTTATTGCCCAGGCTGGTCTGGAACTCCTAGCCTCAAGCAACCCTCCTGCCTCAGCCTCTCAAAGTGCTGGGACTACAGGCATGAGCCACAGTGCCTGGCCTATGTTTTTAGAAGCACCTTAAAAGGGAACATTTTGGCTTGCAACTGTGTGTGACAGGGTATACATTGCTGGGGCCAAGGAGGGGCAGCCCCCGAATCCCCAGGGCAGGCCCTAGCTGAGGCAAGCATACACAGGCAGTCACTAGGGAGGGCCAAGTCCCTCTTGAGACCCAGAATTAACTACAGCCCCTTTGTCCCTCAACCCCACAGCTCCCAGCACCCCTGCCCCATCCAGGCCTCCCCATCTCAAATGCTCTCTTGAGTACAGGGTGAGCTGCAGGTTATAGATGGGGAAACTGAGGTTCCATGGTGGGGGTAAAACCTGGGACTCCATTACTCATTGGGGCCCCTTCCCTAGAACACCTCCAGGCTCTCATTCTCAATAGATCCAAGAGAAGAAACAAAGGGGATAATACCTTCAGGCTTTAGCTTCTCCAGAAACCACTTTCTGTAAGAGAAATAAAGGGGAGTCAGACACCAGGAGCATAAGAATCTTCTTACCACCTTCTTACCTGGGATGTGCCCCATGCACAGCCAAGGAGAAATGAAAGAGAATGTCTCAAATAAAAACGAAGAGAAGTCATCCAACAGGAAAAAGGAAATGGAAACAAACAGGCAATGCACAGAAGAACCAATAAACAAATGAAGGCTTCAATCTTGCTGATAATTAGGAAAATGCAAATTAAAACTGCATGTAATAACACTTCACATTCCTGAAATTGCAAAATAATAAAAAGTCCTAATACTCAGTGCTGGTGAGGATGTGGAACAATATACACAGTGAGTATAAGTGTATACGGATGCAATTGCTCTAGCAAACAGATTGGCCACCCAAAAGTTAAAGATCTATATACCCCAAACCCAGCAACAGCACTTATGCCTCCAACCCCATGTAGGGGTCTTCAAATTGGGGTATTTGTATGCTAGAGATACACAAAGACCTTCTAAAGGGGTCCAGGGCACTGGACAATTTTAAGGAAATCAATTTTCAGATCTCAACTTGCTTATTTTCTCTTTCCTGAAAGTGATCTGCCCATGAATGTCCTTCTCAAATGGGCAGGTCCCCTTTCCCATCTCCACTTACACAATCTCATTCTCACACTTTACAAAAGAAAGACATGCCTCTCCCCTCTCCCTAATCTTTCCTCAGGACAATCTGAATATTGGTGTTGATGCCAAGACCCTGAATGACCTGCTATATCAGGTAACCAATCATTTTGCAGTTCTGATGGTTTTGTGCCTGGGGCCCTGCAAAGGGGGAGAGGGGCCACTTACATGTAGGGGCCAGGGAGCCCTTTGAGGGCGTTGAAGCACAGACAGGTATCCTCCACCAGTACAGGCCCCTTTACCTGCAGCAAAAGGACATGCAGCCCTGAGACCCGTTACCAGCCGCAGGCTCCGTCCCTCCCCACCCTAAACTCCCAGGTCACCTGGGCTGGGGCCAGCCAGGCTCACAGCTAGCACAGATCTGCAGCAGTAGACAGAGGTTTATATCAAGAGCAGCTAATCTCTTATCTTTATTTTAGAGATGGGGACACCAAAGCCTTGGCAGGTTGTAAAGCTTGCTCCAGGCACAGCAACAGGAGAGCTGGGATTCACACCCAAGCAACGTGCTCCTTCTCAGTTCCACAGAGGGGTGTGAGTGCAGGGGGGATGTGTGTGGGGGCAGAATGTAGGGCTGGAATGTATTTATCTAAGAACTGGGGGAGGCAGGGGAGAGAGTCTGTGTATGGTGGTGGTCTGGGGGAGACACCACGCAGTCAAGGTTGGGAAAGGAAGGCAGTGTTCCAAGGCCAATATTAACCGCCCCCAGCCTGGATGGATCTGGGCAGGTCTTGGAAGTCACCACAAACTGTGCCTACTCTATTGTTCTCTGCCCGTACCCAGCAGGCACAGGCCCCAGGAGCCACCTGGACAAGAGGAGCAAGTGTGGGACAAGGACAGGGTAAGCACCTGGCGAGCTGCCTCCCGACACTTCTGTATGGAAATCTCATCTGGCTCCCCCTGGTACTCCGGCACTTGTCGAGAAAACAGATACACAGAGTCAGGTCACAGGGAGACAGAGAAATTGAACCCTCTTTTAAAAATAAAATGAAACGGAGACATACGGTCAATTTTCTGTGCCACCAAAGTGCATGGAAACTTATCTCCTAGAATCTGAATGACCTGTTGCAAAATGAAAGAACATTTATCACCATCTGCTAATAATCCCCCATTACTACATGAGCTGCCATCCACCTTTCTCACCAGTTACTCGCCGGCCAGGCCCCCAAAGCTTACCAAGTCAGGCCTAGGAGCCCCACCCCAGCTGTCAGGGTCCCACTCCAACAAGCCAGCCCCTCCGTCTTCCTCCTCCTCTACCCCTCCTACTTCAGATCTCTGCCTGTGTTAACTCCCCATCCAAAACACCCTCTTCTCAGTGCTCACAGAAACCCTATCCATCCTCTAAGGCCAGGAATTCCCTATCAGGGGTCACTCAGAATTCGGGCAGCCTGCAAACCTGGATGGGAAAAAAAATACCTCTTTATTTTTACTAACCCCTAACTGAAACATAGCGCCTTTTTCAATTATGAATAAAAACAACAAAACAGTATTAGCAGTTCCTGTGACTTTTAAAGCTATTAAAATCAAAGATGTTGTTTTATCTCATTATAATTTTTGCAGATATCTCAAAGTATCATTTACGATCACTATTTTAAAATTAAGGTAATTATATGCACTGTGAGAATGAATCCTTTAATCCCTATATAACTAGGTCACAAATATTTGTAATATTTTGAGAACTACACTCCAATATGGTTGATTTCCTTTGTAAGTCTATGTATTTTATTTTGTACATTTGAAACTATTTTCCTGAGAAAGGATCCACACGCTTCATCAATCTGCCAATGGCATAGCATGGGATGAAAAGAGTTAAGACGCCCTGTTCTAGCCCAAGTTCAAGTCCATCTTCTCCAAAGAGCTTCTCATGGCTACTCCAACTCCTTCTTTAAATGTGAGAAGGCAATGTTCTCAGCCAGAGGTTTGGGGTCTAGTTCCCACCATCCCACATGGGCTCTGTTCAGGGTGGCACTGACTGTCTGCTTGACTGGTCTGGCCTCAGAATCCCAAACCTTTAATCAGCACAAGGCTCTGGCTCCTGAAAAGGTCACCCTGTCCTGGCGCAGAAATGCCATCTGTCCCTATGCTAAGGACAAATGAAGTTTCCCTGAGAGACTGCACCTCATTGGTCTGCCTCAAACATATGCAGTGAGTGTCATCCTCTGATCCCCCACACATGACCCAATCTCCTTGGCTATGGCTGACTGAGCAGGGGCTGATGTCTGGCAGAAGCCTGACTGTCCTCTCCACCAGCTGGGGAGAAAGAAGAAAAATCCCAATAAGGCTAGGGATGAGCATCCAGCGAAAACTACAAGGACAGGACGGGACAGCCCCTGAGGGAATCCTCAGGTTCTGTGGGACACCATAACATCATATTCCTGCAAGAGACACGTGGTGGCTTACATGAGCTCCCTGTGTGTCTGTTACTTGTAGCCAAAGACGTTCTATCAACCCTCACAGTCCTCTCAGCTAGCCACAAAGTCCCTGTAGCAGAAACTTACGATCCAAGGCCTCCTTTACACCTCCTCTCTATAGTGACGTGAAGCAGACGTCCCACATCATCCCCTTTTCACAGATGCAGAAAGAGGCTGGGACATTTCTGGACTGTGGTGGGGCGTGGACTGCTCACTCAGTTTGGCACCCCGCCTCACGCCTTTCCTGGCCCCACCCCGCCCCACGCCTCTCCTGGCCCCTGCCACCCACCCACCCCCGGGCCAGCAGCGGGATCTGGATCAGTCCCAGAAAGGTGTCGGGGCCCCGGTATGGGGTCTAGCTCAATAGTGACCTTTGGGACAGGTTCTAAGGGCCCCCGACCACTACTCCGGCTCCCCCACTCGCTGACCTCACAAGCCCTGTGCCGGGATCTGTCAAGAGCCTCATCCTTTCGTCAATCCCGGGGCGCCCCAGGCCCTTCCACACAGCCCGGTCCTGCCCCATCCTTGCGAGCCGAGCTCAGTGTTCTCCCACCACGCCTCCTCCTGCGTGTTTCCCTCCGCCAGGAAGCCCCCTCTTTACCCTATTCCCAGCCGCCTCCCGGCCGGCCCCCCACACCCTCCCGACACCTCCTCCAGCTTCTTGGAGTTCCCGGTGACAAACACGATCTTCTTCCCGGCCAAGGAGGCAGCCATAGTAACTCCCCGGCTACCCAGCAGAGCTACCGGAAGCCTTTAGCCTCGAGTCCAGGGACACTTCCGGCTGGTGGCGGAAGAGGGCGCCTCGACTTCCGGTCTGAGGACCCAGGACAGCCTATTGGGATACCGAGACGCGTCTCCGGCGCGTGGGTTCGCGCAGGTTGTGCAACCGCCTGCATCCAAATTGCTGGGGGCTTCCCAAGACTTGAGGTTTTTAGTGCGAAAGACGCGCCCCTTCCACCTAGGGATGCTGTTTTCGAGACCAGAAGAGACCACGCCCACCCCTGCTTTCGCCCCTCTCTGCGATGGGGGCACCGAGGGAAGCAGACAGCGACTCTGTGCCCTGGAGGGTTTGCGCTCTCCTGGACTGTCTCGGAGATCCGTCTTCGAGGCAAGGGCTCCCAAACCTTCATCCTGACCTCACCTTCAGCCCCGCTTCCTGAGCCCCTCCTTACCTGCCAGCTCGGCTCTGTAATTTGCATCCCCGACATGGCAAGGAGAAGGAAGTGCCCCAGCAGACCCACCTGTGACACAGGCCTTGAACCTTTGCTGACAACCGCACTGGGCAAGTCATCTGTCTGCCTCCTCCAGAGACTCAGCACTCTGCCTGCTGCCTGGAACCCTGGGGCAGTAGCTCTTGAATGGCCACCTCTGCCTCTGCACCAGAAAGGGGGGATGGGATCTGTGCTTACCGGGCTCTTTGTCATTCTGATGGCTTGTTTCTGTTATTGAAGCAGAAACACCATCTACTCATGTAGAGCCCTTGGAGGAGTGGCTATGGGAATTTGGGGGCAGAGAATGGCCTGGAGGACATCACCTATCCAGAGGAGCCTGAGAATAAAAATGGCCCACCCTACCTGGGTGCCTTTCTCGGCTCTCAGGCAGCTGGAGCCTCAGCTCCTCAAGGAAACTTTCCCTGGCCTCTCCTTTATCTGCTCTCATAGCACTGGGCTCCCCAAGGAATAGCAATATCCCCACTGCAGATATATATGGGTTTATTTTATTATTCCATTTTCTCCTCTAGAAATCACACTAGTAAAAACCTCGTCTGTTTTTGTGCACCATCTAATCTTTAAATCCCAGTGCCTGGCACGTAGTAGGTACTTTGTAATGTAAAATCGCAACTGACATCTACAATTCCATAGGTGACTTTCCAAAGCCAAGAAATGGATCATTCAGGATGGGGAGTAGCTTCTCTTCACATCCCAGGCCAGGTGAGGCTACCTCTGTTTCTCACACTGTGGCATAAGTCAAAAAAAAAAAAGCAAATTAAAGAAACATGCTTTTAAACTTAGAGGAAGCTGCAGAAATACTTACTGGGTAGAAATCCTCGTATAGAGAACCTGTTTTTTCAAGAGGATTATGGTGGAGCACAAGGGAGGTCTAAGGCTTAGCCAACAGGGCAGATGTGGGGCCTGCTCTGCCTTGTCACTATATAGTATTTATGGCTTTTTGTTAAAATACTATTTAAGCAAGTCCCCTGAGGAAGCCACTACCTTGAGAGAGAAATACTTTTGAACTGAGGCCTCTTAGTGATGTGTACAGCATGTGTTAATAAACTTCAGCTTTTTTTTTTTATTAATTTGACTTTCTAGGAGAATGTCTCAACTAAGAACCTAAAAAAGGGAAAGAAAAGAAATGATGCCTTCTCCCCTACCATTGGTCAACCCAAATGGGACCAACAGAGACAATCCACTCACTGTGGGACCCACAGATGGAATCCTGGGAGAACTGGCAGAAGCCAGCAGGAAAAGGTAAGATTTCTCACCAAAATCAGCTTCTCCCAGACTTCTATCTATGGAACCTGGTTGAGAGAGGAAGGTAAAAATGTTTTCTTGTCCCTTCCTTTCCAGGTTCAGATTGGCAGGAGAAAAACATTTACTAAAATTTTTTTTCTTCTAAAATTTCAGGATCAAATAAAAAAAGGAAAAATAAAACGATTAATTCTTTGAATTTGTGACTCTTGCAGATTTGTCTTAGGTATCTATTTGATTACTGACCTTTAGCTTTCCAAGGATGGCCCTTGTTTTTCTTTT